TTTTAACAGTAAGATACTTGGGTATTAAGCATAGAATAGGATGGGGACTATTTTGTGTGTGTTGTGCGGTAAGAAGAAATTCAGATTTGCCAGTTCGATTGAGAGGGGGGGAGAGAGAGAGAGAGAGAGAGAGAGAGAGAGAGTGTGTGTGTGTGTGTGTGTGTGTGTGTGTGAGTCAAGAGCCACGAGCATTTTTGAAGTGGATCACTGGAACAGAAAGCGTGCCCCATCTCTTTGCAAAGGCCCAGAAGAGTTCTGTGGTGGGTGGGACTGTAGCTTTGCCAGGTGGAGAAAGGGCGGGCGAGTGGTAGACTTGTACACCGGTTCAGCTACCTGGCTTGGGAAACGTAGTTCAGTTCTCCAGGGCGGGGTTTGGCAACTTCTGCTTTAGCATCCGAGGAGGGAAGGTGCGACCTTCAGTTCTCAATTTGCTGTTTTCCTTAGAACTCCCTCTCTCGTCCTCCCCGCACTCCTCCCAGGACCCTACTCCCACCGCCTGCAAGCAAGGGAGCACAGGGAAAGCGCAGCATTCTCTTACTGGCTGCAGGGGTCGGGGAGAGGAGAGCTGGTTGAGGTGCCTGCCGTACCCCAGCTCGGCTCTCAGCCCGGGTGGGCTCTGGGGTCGCAGCGCGGCTGGGGTTAAGGTGGGCGCTCGCCTGTGCCTAGCGACCGCTGGCAAGATGAACGCTCAGTCCGCCGGCTCGCGCGACGCGGGCACGGGAGAAAGTGGCGGTCAGTGATGGAGCTGCTGCCATGACAACCACGGCGGTCAGGACCCGCGCGCGTCCGGGCTGCTCCCGGGAGGAAGGCAGCGTGGAGGCTGGAGGCAGCCGCTGAGCTTGGCGTCCGCGCGTCCCCGCGTCCCGTGCTGCGTCCCTGGAGGAGGCGGGGGCGCGGTACACCCAGCTCCCTTGCGCCCCGAGCCTGCGCCGGGCGGCGCTCCGCGGGCTGGGAGTGCGGGCCGGGCTGGCCGCCAGTCGCCGCCCGGGCTGCGGTGGAGGACATCCACGGCGCCGGAGGATCCTCTCGCTGAGCCGTCCGCGGGTCCCTGCGGTGGAACTTTTTGCACCTTTGGGTTCCAGATTAGAGACTTGGGCTGTTTATAAATATATCTATACATATGTGTGATCTAATAAAACATTTTCTCCTCTCCTTGAAGCAGCAGTTTTTTATGACATCTTTATGTCAGAGACACTTGCCTGGCTTCTTTGGGTTATAAACTTTTGATGCCAGACCTCTGCAGAACG